TGTGAATACACTCTTATCTTCTGAAAATATATTTAAGAGTTTAAATGCTCTTTAGTATTCAAATAAGAATTTTACTTATTATTATTATAATTATTATTATTCTGACTATTTTTATTCTTTCTTGAACTAGCATATCTGCTAACAATATGATCAGTATCTTTATAGTTATAACAGGTGATATTATTTCTTGAGTTATTATTATTAAAGTTATTATTAAAATTATTATTAAAATTATTATTATTATTAAAATTATTATTATTATTATAGTTATTATTTCTTCTACTTCTATATTTATTTGTGATATGATCAAATCTTTTATAATTATTATATTTAATAGAATTATTTCTATTATTAAAGTGATTATTAGGCTGATTAGCAATTACTAAATTTTCTAGTTTTGAAATAATATTCTCAATTTGTTCTGCTAACTTGTTAATTCCAGTATCTGTAGGTGATATTAACAAGAAATATAAGCCATTTGATATAGTATTATATTATTAAAAGTTAGACCTATAAGCAATTGTTATATTAATTGCTTCTTTTAATATTGCAGAATGAGTTGAATTTACAAAAAATTTGATTTCTGATCTAAGCCTATCTATAAAGTAAGATACATATAAATGAGCTGAATAGGTATTAGTCAGATCTACTTTTCTAATTAATTCTCTGATAGCTGCAGCATATTATTCTATATTTTCATCAGGTAACTGTTTTCTTTATTTTAATTATTATTACTATTCATATAATCAATTATGATTTCTAAAGTACTTTTCAAATTGATATATAAATGAAGCTTCTTTTATATTAAGATTAGTATTATTAGCATAACTCTAAGTTCTTGACTATTTTGATTCATATAATTTTTTATTAACATATCATGTGGTAGCTAAATCTTTCAGATAAACATCTATTATCTGAATTTTTCTATTATTGCTAATACCATTAGCAACACAAGCATTTTCAAAATCTTGAAGTCAATCAATTAGATCTTGAGTATCATCATAAAATTCTATAATTTTAGTGTAATTGACTTCTTTTGGTCTTTCTAGAGCTACAACAAGTACTCTAATTCTATATATCAAATCTTCAAATCTGTTATTAGTAGTGATGGGAGTCATAACTAGTCACAACTTTATCACAATTTTCTGATTGGCTGCTGCAAGCCACAACTAATTGAGAAGTCATCTTTAGTTATTAGTAGTTGATGAAAATGATATTTCATTTTTCTTATCTCTACTTATTTCTTCTTTAAGTGATTTTAAAGAAATAAAAGTTAAAGTAATAGGTATATCTGGAATAATTAGCTATATTTTTAAATATTTATTAAGTAGTGATTGCGCTAATATTTATTCAAGAGTATCTGGATTATATTTTTCAAACTGTTGTAAGATGTTCAGTAATTCTTTATTTGACTTTGACTGACTTGGATTTGATACTTCTACAAATATGTCTTGTTATTTTCTTTATCTATATTCTGTTAGATATTTAATTCTCTTGTCTTTAAACTCAAATATTTCTTGTTGTAATTTATAAAGATATATCTGTATTTGTTCTATTGATAGATCAGTTTCTTTTTTAATTAAGATTGTAAAATCTTTTCTTGTCTTGATTTGAATTTCACTATATATTACTTTTTAATGAAAATGATAGAATTTATCCCAGATGATCTGTTAATTAAATTCAGTATAGTCTTCAAGATGTAACTTAATAAATAATTGAGCAAAGAGTCTTTCTCTTTCTACTTTGATCTCTTTGGTTAGATTCACTTTGAATATGTTATAAAATTATTTCTTCAATTGCTTTTGATTCTTTACTAATTTTAATTTAATTCACAGAGAATTCTTTATCTAAATCTAGCTTGAATTTGATAATTCTATAGAATTATTTTTTCACAGAAAGGGTACAAAAAGTTATTATCTTTTTGATGTAAGTTCTAAAATGGGGATAAGTATTTAATCTAATATTATAAAAGCATGTGATAAAAGTGATCACATACTTATAATAATGTTTGAGAGAGTTTTTTAAAAATTTATTAACAAGAGTATAAATATTATTATTTATCTAAAGATAGGTAATGATAGTATTCTTGTTGTGACTAGCTAGAATATAGTTCAATTTTAAAATATAGTTTCAAGGCAGATATAATGTTCAGTTTATTAATAAGATGAAATAATAGATCTTAATCAAGATCTATTCTACAAGAGAGATTTCTTAGAATTCTCTTAAAACTAAAATCTACTAAAATACAAATTGAGAACTAAACTCATAGAACTCAAACTAAACTAAATAACTGATTAATTAACTAATAACTATCTTCTTAACTATCTAAATTTATTAGCTAAGATATATCACTTTTATATATTTTAGAGATTATATGAATGATATTTTTATTATGATACTTATACTAGTTTTGCTATGATCTAAATGTTACTTTAGCTAATATCATAATATTGATTTTGTTATAATAGTATTGTTAGTTTTGCTATAATAGTTTTACTAACTTTGCTATAATAATTTTGCTATGATCATTATGTTTGTGAAATTTTCTAAAAATATCTATAAATAATATTCTCTAAAACTAATATCTAATAAGATATAAAGAATTATTCATCCAATCATATTATGATATGAAGTAATCAATAATAAAATCAACTAATATTCTACTAAAAGTTCATATCACAATAATATAAATAAAACTGATAAGATAAAAATCTAGTTGTAATTAAATTTACTTATAATAATAGTAAAAATATTTTTATTAAATATATATCTTTTAAATTAAATTATAAATAATTATTTCATATCCTAATTAATATTCTTTTATCACAAAATAATATTATTGAATTACAAAAATTCATGAAATATTAGAATATTATGATTAAAATTACTAAAAATTTAATATTAAAAATATAAGAAAAATAGTTAAAATATGTAAATTAATATAAAAAATGTAAAGAATTTAATATTAAAGATCAAGTTTTTCTCTTTATTTATAATATAGAAAATTTTATAAATAAATAAAAAATAATTAAGAAATTATATCAAAATTCATAAAACTCTTTGAGATTATTAATAAAATATCTTTTATTATATATAAATTATAATTATCAAATAATATAAAATTATATTTAATATTTCATATTTTACTTTTAAAGAATATAATTTAAATAATAAATATAATAAATATATATTATTTTCAGTTATTATTATTACTGATGATAAAGCAAAATATAAAATTAAAAATATTCTTGATTAATAAATTTATTATCATAAACTTTAATATTTTATTAAATAACTTAAAATTATTAAATAACTTGAAAAATATTATGAAGAAGATAAAAATCTTTTGAAAATTTATATATTTAAATATTATAATTAATTAGTTATTTATAAGATATAGTAATATGATATAATTATAGTATGTGATGCAATTAATAATCATTTTTAAATTAAGAATACAAGAGATTAATAATATTTAATTTATAATTCTATTTTTAATTTATCTTATTATTCATATTTAGCTTTATTTATTTATTAATTTTAAATATAGTTTAATTATATATATTATATTAAATTTATAATTTATTAGATTATTAATTTTTTAATTAGTTATTATTAGTTTTTTCTTCTTTAATTATAATTTTTTTAATATTTTGCTAATTTTACTTTTTAATTATTTTATATTTAATTTAAAAAAGTTTTTTATAATAATTCTTTCAAGATTTTACTTGTTTTCAAGTAAATTAAGTAAAATATTATGACAAAATAATTTGTAATTTAGTATAACTTGAAAATATTATATATATAAAAAGTCAAGAAGAAATTAAAAAGAATAATTAAATTTGATAAAAATAGTTAATTACTAAGTTAAGAATAATTAACTGATATTATTTTTATAATAAATACATATATTCTATATATATTATCTTTATTTATTTTCTTCTTGTTTTATTAAGAGAGCATTTTGTTAAAAGTTAAAACTTACTTAAATTATCTTATTAAGAAAATAATTAGTTATCTTTTATTTTTTAAAGTTAAAAAGTAAATAATTATCATAAACACAATTATTATTACTATTTTAAAATAATATTTTCTTTGTAAATAACAAATCAAGATTAAAAATAAATTAATTCAAGCTAGATTCAATCAAGTTAACTAATACAAAAATAAAGAGATAATATAATAAAATAATCACTATTAATATATCATATTTATTAATTTTATTTAAATTTTGTTAACTACTTATAAATATATCATGATTTAATAATTTTTAATTTTGCATTGCATTACTTTTGATTGTCACTGTATTTTATATAATAAATATTCTTATAATATATAATAATTCTTATAATTATAAAATTAAAAGATTAATTTTATTAATAAAATTTTCTTTTTATATTATAATTTATAATTTTATTTTATTTTTATATCAAAATAAATTTTATAAATTATAATTTAATATATATTTTTTTCAGTTTTTAAATTTTTCTAAAAGTTATTTTAATAATAAAATTATTATAAAATTTTTTCTTATATAAGAAAAATCTGAAAAAAATATATATTAAACTATAACTTGTAAACTTTTTGATACAAAAATAAAAATTTATTTTTTTAATAAAATTATAAACTTTAATATAAAGAAAATTTACAAAATTAATTACTTAACTTTATAATTACAAGCCAGTATATAATTATCATATAATTATTCTTTATAAAGTTATATTACTTATTGATATCTTGATTTTTATCCTCCAAAAAGAATATATATCCTATTTTAGATCAATCTGATCAAAATTACTATAATTTCTAAAATCATAAAAATTTATTTCAACAACATGATTACCGATTTTCAACGAAGCAGCTGATCAAAATTTGACACTATTTTAAGGTTCAAAAAAATAGGGTAAAAACCAATACGGGGATATTGCTTATATTTCGCAAAATACGGCAAAGAGGAATAATAATTATAATGTAAAACCGTCAACAATCTAATAATAAATCTAAATTTGACAATAGCGGAATAACCTGCTTAAATCTACATAACGGTATTGACACTTATCCAAGTAACGGTCGACAGCATTTTTTAGTTCTTTAAATGAATCGTTTTTATCAAACATCTTGGAGTAATAAAGTAATTGGGTGTAAAGCATCTTGTCCGAATACTGTTATAATTATTATATTATTTAGTATACAATAAATCAATAAAATCAGTATCAGACAACACTTGAATTATAAAGGCAAAAAAGCTTACTTCTTCAGTCATTAAACCTGGGCAACCAGAAATTTGGCATTTTGAATTAATCGTCCTTGTTCGATGTCGACATGTCATTTCATCGCATGCAAACCAGCCATCATAATATCGTTGAATATGACTTTTAATTTGACAATTTATTTGGGCAACCAACGATGACGTTGGAAGAGTACGTTTGCATTCTGGATTTCCACATGAAATGCCTGTTGTAGTGGAATCGATTCCCTATGATGATGGCAATATGAACAAAAATTAATTTGAATAGATTAAATAGATTAAAAAAAATTGAGATGTCGAGTAGTAATATTAATTACGGTGGGTTCAAATATAAAATGCGATTTGCAGTATCTACAAGATGGCTGGAACTTTTCTACATCGGCAAATCTCTCTTCATTCCTAGATTTATCTTCATAAAATGATGAATGTGAGGAAGAATTTCCAGACCGAAATTTTTGTGTCTCCAATCCTTCATGAAAAAAATCATTAAACATTTAGGTTTATAAAAAGAAAAAGCTAGATATTCGACATAATCGTGCGTACATACCTAAACAAGCTGCTATTCTTACGCTATCTGTTCCTTCGAGAGGCTCGCATAATCTCGAGACGCATGGGTGGATTTGTGTATACAAATACCATTCAGAATCTAAATCATCATTATATAATTGTCAATTTAATTGAAAAATAATTTATTCAAAACCGATTAGGTATTCTCACCTATTTTTAAAGATTCAGAATTTTTTATTTCGTCAGGATGATATGCTCGACCGGCAAAATTATCGTTGCTATTTGATTCATCTCCTTTACAAATTATGTAAGGAATTGTTTCACCTACACGAGCACTTTGGTTATTTTTAATCCTTCGAAGGGCAACTTGAACATGCGGCTGGGATTTAGCGTCGGCATATTCTGTTGGATTTTTGGCCAGATTCTATTGTTCATCAAATTATTTAATAAAATGATTTAGAATGAAACTGAAACGGAAAAGATATGTATGTATTTATACCTTGTTAATGATAAATTTCTCGAGGGGATATGCTTCTGAACGTGTCTGTTCAGCTACAAAAGCAAGATACTTGTGAATATTTTCTAAAATTTCCTCACGCTCGGAAACTGATAAAATCTGTTCCAAGACATATCTAGAAAGGACGAGTACCAATACGTTGTTTATTAGAATTAGAATTAGATATTGAATAAAAACCAACATTCGAAAAGGAATTTTACTTTGAAACATCTTGCGATAGTTCACACCAATCTCTTCTGACCAAATCAAGTCCTTTCATTTCTGGCTTCCTAACCAGCTTGCCACTTTGTGCTTCGACAATAATTGCGGCATATTTTTTCTTTTTAAGTAAAAGCAAACGTTCATACACCGCGTCCAAATCAATCTCCATTAGTTTGTATCTCTGATTAATTTTTTTCTTTAGGGCATAGCCCATTTCGCGAGCTTTATCCAGGTCCGTTTCATTAGTATTAATCATGATAGAGTCCGTGTCTCCATATATGACCTTTATTCATCAAACAATAATATTCCGTTAGGTTTTCGACACAGCTGGGATTTTTTATAAAAATACATACCTCCATCTGTTCATTTTCTGCAAGATCGCGAGTATTTTGTAAAATTTCTCGACCTTTTGAGGTAATCAACATGGCGAGCTCTTTTGCATAAAATCTTGAATGTGCAAAACCCAAGCAACCGTACATACTATTTGCCGTGAGCTTGAGAGCCTGTTGACGAATATCAAACTAACAATTAAAAGTTTAATATTATTAGTTAAGTAAAAGGTGGTTTAATAATATTCAAAAAAACACAAAAGCTATTGCGTACTTGAGCACGTTGAGTTTCTGATATATTCGGATCTTTCATAAGACGCTTCACTCGCCTTCGTCTTTCCACTAGATACGCCAATAACTTTGGCAGAATTCCACGAGGTACATTCGAGTCGGGAATTTCTGTGTTTTTTTCGTCCGATTCTTCCTAAATCATATGAAATATAAAATGGTTAGAATTACTTTGATATAAAAGATAATTATCATTCAAAAAAATTCACCAAAGACTCGAGTTTGTGAGTGGTGAAGCAAATGTTGTACTCTTGAATGATGGAGGGATATAGACTATTGAAGTCCAGCATAAGCACGTATTTATCGTAAAGTCCTGATTTTGGATCAAAAACAAGTCCACCTGAATAAGCTGGCTTTCTTCTGCTGCCAACGTTTACTAATGCATGTGTCATATCAATGTTAGATAAACAAATATCTTCTCATTTTAGAGCGTCATCTATTACTGACTCACCATTCAAATTTTCTTGATCGTTTCCCCGACCTTTATTGTAATGCTTATCCGGGCAAATGTATTTGTTTTTATGAAATTCATGAAGCAAGAGATATTCATTTCGTTCAGCTCTCGATCCAGTAAGGGTTCTAGACCTTAATCAAAAAATAAAAAGAATAATTTGCCTCAATATTTTGACAGTTTATCACTGAAATCAGATCTGAAATAGAAAACTATACCATAGATTGCCAGCTTCCGAAGTCAATTCTTTAGTAAGTGGCAGGAGTTGCAATTTAAACGTTAATTGACAAGTTAGCTGCGCATCTTTCAGGCAGCTGAAAATCAATTCAGTTAAAGAATCAGTTGACGTAAAATACGTGTCCACTTTCGTAAAATCGATTTCTCTGCGCGCGGTATGAAGTTGACTAGACGCAAGGTCTGTCAACGTATAATTTTTCGATTTTATTTTGAGTTCCTAAGTAATATGAATCGTTTGATATAAGCATAACATTATGATAAAATTTAATGATTCAGCTTTATATTGAGTTACCCTAGCATTAAGATATGTATCACATATCAAACGCCCACTAACAACAGCTTTTTCATCATAAGTTGATTCACTCATGCCACCAGCGCCAGATTGTAATTTAGGCCACCTTTTTAAAGTTGATCGATTTTAGCATCTTAAGAAATCTATTAATAATAGGAAAGCAGGAAATACCAACATTGATCTATGTAGTCTACCGATTTTTGACCATTCTTGCACTTTATGTTCTTTCATTCGATGCAACAAAATATCCAAATCGAAGCCGATAAAGTTGTGTCCGACCAGGACATCTGGATCTGTTCTTGCAATTATTGCTGGAATATGAACAAGTTTATATTAAAACTTATTTATAGACCATCAAATCAAAAAACATAATAAGTGAAATAATAAATACCTAGTAAATAATTTAAAATAGCCTTTTCCGATTGTAGAATTTCGATATTCATCTTTTTTTGGCGTATCCTTTCATGAAATCCAATAGGATATATTGTTATTGGTCTAATTGCTGTATATTGGCATCGAGGCAAATTCTGGTCTGAAAAGTTATCTTCGATAGACACTATGAAGGCGTTTGAAATTTAAAGAATAAAGAAAAATGAATCCTAAGTTACACGTTTTATATAATGATCTAAAATAAAGCATTACCATTAGGGTAAATTAACAAGCTTGCCAAAACAATTTCATTGACTTTTCTTTGACGGTTCAGTACTGTCTTTAAACTGATGCTCATGATGGTCATTGGAGGTGCTTTCTTTGGAGAAGTTTGATCCATTCCTTTTAATGGATTGATGAATTTTGGATCCATAATAGCAGCCTCTACTCGGCAATAGGATTCCTATTGAAAATAACATCAATATTATTTAAATTAACGATCAGACTATATTTCTTTTCCGAAATTCACCTTATTCTTCTTAAAATCAGGATTTTGAATTTCTAACCAACAAGGACCCATAATTTTTCGTTTTATGATGAATAATTCCAAGGGATTTCTATTAGCTCCAAATATATGGCTAAACGTCTCGCCACTCAAATCATTTGGGAGCCCAGGTACTACAATAAAGCAAATAGTTAGTCAATGATATAAGATACAATTTGATCTTTTTAAAATACTTACGAGAATAGGAATAGACGACCTTTAAATAATTAGTATCAGAGGGAACATCAGCCATTTCAAAGCAGTATTTGCGCGAGACTACTTTGGATGCCCATGTTGTGATCTTGTAGCGCTGCAAGATTTTTTGTAATTCTATTTTAATATCATTCATGGTAACTACAACATCAGTAGTATTGCCATTTACTATAAACAAAAAGAAAAATAATTATAAATGATATTTAAAAAAAAGATCTGAAATAATATGCTTATTTCCTTACCAACACGATGGGATCTTGGTAGAACAAAGAAACTACGTTCAAGTCCACGGACAGTCACACAACAGCTCAAGTACTCCTTAGTTTTTTTGTTTAATATCTAAATTATTGGAGGAAAATTAGCCTTTAAGATATTAAATGAATTAACTAGAATCATCATAATTACCTTTCCAAACAGATAAATGGTACCATTTTTTGTTCCCTGATAGGCGTCAAACCAATACATTCTTAAAGTTCCATTTTCCTCAAGGCAATCTGAATAATTATTTGATCCAGTTTGAAAAATGTATGCTGTTTGATTTTCATCAACTATCATTTCATTCTCATTCAAATAATTGAGCTTATTCATTTGTTGGTCTTCTTTTTGTACATTAGTTTCCGTGCGATCAATTTCGGCTATTTTCCTCGAAGGACCGTCGTCCGCCTCCAAATAATTGAGATTATTCTCAAACATTTGTTGGTCTTCTTTTTGTACATCAGTTTCCGTGCGATCAATCTTGGCGATTTTTCTTGAAGGACCGTCGTCTTCATTCAAATGATTGAGATCATTTTCAAACATTTGTTGGTCTTCTTTTTGTACATTAATTTCCGTGTGATCAATTTTGGCTATTTTTTTCGAAGGACCGTCGTCCTCATTCAAATAATTGAAATTATTCTCAAACATTTGATGGTCTTCTTTTTGTACATTAGTTTCCGCGCGATCAATTTTGGCTATTTTCCTCGAAGGACCGTCGTCCTCATCCAAATAATTGAAAATATCTTCAAGAATTTGGTCTCCCTCATCCTTTAAAATTAAGCAGACAAGTTATCAATCTTTTATAAAATCAAAAATTTAAAAAAAATATCATACATTATCTTTACACTTGTTTTCTATTTTGAAAAGTGGTCCAGTTGGTTTGCTTCTTGTGGGATTGTTAGCCAAGAAAAATGTTTCGATTTTTCTGGTTGGCTCCTGTTTCTTTTTCTCACTCTTTTTGCTTCTTTTGCGTTTACTTCCAGCTGAATCATTAAAGCATAATATAAATAAGAAATCAGAATAATGAAATAAATATATTGGTTAGATCAAAATAGAAATTCGTTAAAAAAAATTACAGGAAATCGTCTTATATTCAATATAAAATGGTTAAGCGAAATTGTATTCAAATGCATACGATAAATAAGAGTTATAACATACCTTGTTTAGGAGAATCATCTTCTGATTGTTGTTCATCAGAAAATGGCTGCTCAACCTCTTCCATACCATAATCTACATATCCTCTTCCATCATCATCAACAACAAATTCTTCCTCGGAATTTTGCTCGTCAAGTCGCGCTTTATATTCATCTTCACCAATTTCGTCATAAATATCTTCTTCTTCAATCTTTAAGTTTATTTTATGGTTTAACGAATTAATTTCAATACGAAAAAAGCACGATTTGATTTACAATATACCCAACCATTAACAGCAAAGAGAGAGAGAGATTTTGCTTATTTTATTACCTGATATTGTTCAAGACGCGAGCCACGAGCATTTCTTTGTTGACGAAAAACTTCAAAGTGGATCGCTTTGTCTTTTTTCTGGGAGCGCCTGTGTGAGCGAGACATTTAGAAAACGAAATGTGAAAGTGGTAAATTCTTAAAGCGAGACGCGTCTTTTCAAAGATCATGGTTTGTGTCACGGGTAAAATCTACAGATCATGTGATTCATATTGACCCGGAAAAAATTCCGGAAAAATTCCGAAATTGAGATTCTTTGACTGATGTGCCCAAAATTCTGCTATACGCACTAAAGCTAAGTTCTACACTACATGATAAACCAAATATATTTGATTGTTATTTTATTAAGAAATTATCAAATTCGATAAATAAAAAAATTAAAATATATATTTTTAGATTTATTATAATAATATAAAAATAGAACTTATAATTTTATTTTAATTATAAAAAAAATAATAAATATATTAATTTAATAAAAATTTATTATAAAATAATTAATAAGTTAATTATAGTTAATATAATTTGCAAAAATTATAAAAAGAATAATAAATTATTTAAGTATAAAAAATATAATAAATTATAATTAAAATTAATTTAAATTTATTTAATAATAAATATATTTATAATTACAGAAAAAAATAAAAGAAAAAGAATTTTTTAATTTATAGTGGCAACCAAAAGTAATGACTTAGAGGCTAAATTTACTAATAAAACATAGTGAAAATTGAAATTTTCTCTCTATATAAAAATTTATAATTTTAATAAGAAAT